TTAGTGGCCAATTCATGTCAATTTCCACTTTGTTTAGTCCAAATGACTTTATTTAATTTCTATGTCACAGAAACTCAACTGTTGATGAATGTTGTACTGTGCTGAAGTTTTCTTCAGTTCTACATGACTGATTAACAATACTACATGCTTGAATGCTTCTCATTTCTCTTCACTTGCTGGAACAGAAACACATTCCAAAGACTTTTGTTTATATGTACTCTAGAAAGTGGAGGTTAGTCAAAAAGGTCGGTGACATGAGTGAGTATAGTGAATGCATCAATGAATAAGTAGCTTGTTTATTGTTGCACACAGACACTTTTTTGTTTCGATTTCATCCCTGCAACTAATTTAAGTGGTGAACTACATTTTTAGATCAATAAAAAGTTTAGTATTTTTAAGAAAATGGATACAGTGAAAACTACATGTTAAAAAAGGAGGAGAGAACTCTCTAAAAACACGAGAAAAAGTTTCTTTAACTTGTTCAACCATTTAAGATAATATCTTAGAAGTGAGTATCCATGACCTTTTTACTGACAAAATATAGGCTTTTTGGCGATAATGATAATCCGTTACCTGTGTTCTCAGTCAAGTTGAGAGTGGAGTGTTCAATGCCAAATAATGATTTTTACTGGATTGGCATACTGTGTCACAGAGTAACTGAAACTGAAAAGTACTCGGTTGAATATTTGAATTTTTTACGGATATTGACCTTGAACTTTTTGACAGAATGAACAATATGGATTACTTTGCAGTGTGGAGTCATAATGAGATATCAGTCAAAAATGAGTGGTAATTTCATGTTATCTTTAAAACGATTCCCTTCGTCAAGATTATAATCAGTATTGATTGAATTCACTAAAGACATGGAGCGGGAAACTGAAATTGAACGGGATTCTCAGCTGACTAACTTCTGACAACTAACACCAAAATACGTAAAAGCACACATCGAAAGGAACCAACAGTAGGATGTTATAGTTTTCGATCAAAAGTGTCTTTCATGTATGGTGTTCCCATTTTCAATTTTAGGATTCATTCTTTTTTTTTCTACAGAGTTCCTTATAATCCCTTAAATTTTTTATTTGTTGTTGATTGTTTTACAGATTTGTCAGTGAAGTCAGTTCAAAAATCAAAAATCCTTTTTAACGCTGACAATAATTTTTATTACGAAATGCTCAAAAAAAGATCAACTCCCATCTATCAATAGTTGGTTACATCACTTTAAAAAGAAATGAATCCCAATTATATATCAGACACATTTTATCATAACTATCATGAACCTCGGAGTGAACTGAGTTCACCCATAACAGGCGCTTCAACCTCTTCTACTCAGATAACTTCAAGGGATTCAATGTGTACTCGAACGTTAATGAACGATTCACATGTATATTCATCTGAAAGTTTTAATATAAGTTAGTTTTCTGTTTTAAAAAAGTTGGCTTTTAATAATGAAATAATTTATTCATGAAATTTTACGTTACTTATGAAACTAGTAATATCATATTTGCACGCCAATTAAGGAGGGACACTATGAATGGTATAGTTATTTAATGTTTCTGCCAATTTGTAGGTGGGTTATACATGTTAAAATGAATGAATCTATTGAACAAGCCGTCCTTGAGCCACTTCTATATGATCTTGAACACACCAATAAGGATACAGTTGTTTCTTTCTGGTCTTTGCTATAGAAAAAAGAGAGACTTTAAAGGCTACCCTAGGAACAACTGAAATAACCAATTAAACTTCTCTATTTTGTGAAAATCTGCCCTTTCAACCAAAATGAAGAAATTTAATTAGTTATTTCGATCGTTTCTAGGGTAGCCTTCAAAGTCACTTTTTAAAGACGCCCTACAGTTAATACAGTTTTTTCACAAGTCTTAGGATCTTATCTAGGTTTCGGAGTGACTTTGAAGGTCACTCTAACAACAAATGAAGTAACCAATTACATTGTCTATCTTAAGAAAAATTGACTTCTAAGCTGAAATACTAAGACCTGATTGGTTACTTCAGCAGTTGCTAGGATGACCTCTAAAGTCACTCGATTTTCGATTTTAATCTGGTGGAAGTGTAAAGCATGTGACAAAGATATCTATACACTGAACCATCTGAAGAGTGACGTGAACGGATGTAACTAATCCTGTAGTGGCCATTTAATCCCTGCTAATCATTAGTATGAACCTCCGTAGAATTAATTTCAAATTTGAGTTTGAGAATTCCAAAAAGATGTTCCATTTATTACATTGGATACTAGGTAAAGATAGATCTGAAAGTACAAAACCTGAAAATTAAGTTACGCAGTCATTATTTCCTCTTTTCCATGCCGGTGCTGTGGTTCGCTACTCTATGACTTAATAGGTGCCGCGAACTCAGCGAGAACTAAATAGTAGGGTTTAGGCAGTTAAAATGAAGAGTGTGATTAGGTTTTACGGTATTCAACCTAATGAGATACCATAACCCGGTCTGAACTTGTCGCCTTAAATCTCGTTGTTGATGAGAAATCTGGGTACTTGGAAAACCCCTCAGAATTAGCAAACAGTGTGAGATGATAATGTAGGGAGCAGTTCCCTTCAGTTTGATGGAAACTACTAACATCAAGATTTTGCATAAGCCTGTCTGTAATCAGTGACAGCCTTTCAGTAGTTCTAGGCTTCCCCTAAACGATCTTCAACCTGATTGGTCGCTTCAAGGTTATTTTGGAGTTGCTCAGCAACGGCAAATAGAGTAGGAACGGCAGTTTTAGCAGGATAGCATGGATTCATCTCATCAGCTGTTTACATTCTAAAAAAATACTAACATTAATCTATGCAAAATTTCTGCATACTTGAATCAGTTTGATTAAAAATGATCTACTTGAAGAGAAGATAACGTTGATATCAAACTGATTCAAGTATAAAGAAATTTCATGTGAACTGATGTTACCATTGTTTTAAGTTGTCTTTGCCTGATGAAAAAACCCCGAAATAAAATGGATCTATGCTATTCTGCTAAAACTCTTGTTTTTGCTCTATTCAACTCTATAAAGGGAAAGAATTGAAAGGAAATTCTAAAGTTCTACCTTAAAATGCAGAGAACATGGGAAAGTTATAGGCTTTTAGTGACATATAACTTCTATGTTCTGTTTGCTCAAGATGGTGATTGGTGCATGTTGTTGTTGTTGGTTGGGTATCTTCATCACCTCCGTCTCCTGTACGTTCACCTGAAGGAAGTCCCGTCTTCGCTACCATACCTCTCCTGTCAACTTGTTAGTTTTCGCCTGCAGATCTTCGAGTTTGTGTGACAAGACATTTGAAATAAATCATCATCGGCCGCGAAATCCGAATCTTTTAGTGTCTTTTCATCGGTCAAACAGCGTATGCCCATCTTCTCGCTCCCCACGGTTTGCTGCATGATCCAGTCCAGTCCAGTAGACCACAAGCAGGAAGATGATCCGTGAAAGTAGGCGGCAACCTTGTCTTACTCCTGTCTTCACTTCAAATGCATCATTGAGCTTTTCATTGTGTTATGAATCACTTGGCATGTAGCATGTAGCATCATATAGCATAGCATAGCATATAGCTGTTGAATGAGGTTGATAAAGGTTTGTGACACAAAAAGTGCAATGTTGAAGCAGCTGCCTGCCAAATTGCTTCTCGGTCGACGTTATCGAAAGGCTTTTCAAAGCCGATAAGGTTGAGGTAAATATCTAGTTGACTGCCATTCTATGCTCTGTTCTATGATGATGTGTAGCGTAGCACTGCAATTTGATCCGCACACGATTTGTTTTTCCTGAAGTCAGTCAGCCAGCCAGCTGTTCTGGTCGTAATTTCAAAATGAAGAGAGAGGATTTTTCTAGCCTCTCTAGGATGATGTGGCTTAATATTTTGCTTGGGGTGGGGAGGAGCATGATTCCGCGCCAGTTTTTGCAAAGACTTAGGTCTCCCTTCTTTGGAAGTTTGACAAAGTAACGCTTCCTCCAATCAGAAGGTACCTTTCCTTCCTTCCAAACCTTCTGAAATAGTGGTTTGAGCATGTCCACTGCTGTCTCTGAGTCTGTTCTCAGTGCTTCTGGTGGAATTCCATCTGGTCCTGCTGCTTCCCCGCATTTCAGCAGCTTTGTTGCATTCAGGACTTCTGCTTTTGTTGGAGGGCCTGTGTTCACTGGTAGTTCTGCAGTTGCTGGTTTCAGTGTTCTTCAACTCAGGTTTCCTCGGGGATGTTGCTTAATGTCTCCCATTTTGTTCTGATGGCTGACGTGAAAATTTTCTTTGTAGTTTCATCCTTCAGCATCTGTTCTAAATGTTGGACTTGAACTGTGGTCTATCATCAGCTTTTTTGAAGGCTTTCAACTTGATTTGGAAGTTAGGTTCCTTGCACTTGATAGGGAGTAGTGTGAACCTATATCTGCTCCTCCTCGTGATTTTGTGTCCAGTAGACTGCTTCTCCACTTCCTTGAGATTTAGATGAAGTCGACTTTCGTCGCACCTTCAGTCATCACCCAGAAAAACTGGAATAGTTAAAATAATACTTTTCATGTGATATACTTTCCGAATGACAACAATTTCTTGACGATGAAGTTGTCGATAAATGAAGGAGATCTAAATAAAATTTGTCAAAGGTTTCCTCGCTAATTCATAAAGTTTATCACTGATGATATTGAGCATTTGTGGAAATGCTGCAACTACAACGGCTGGATCTTTCGGATTTTAGGATGACTTAGCATATCTTTTCAAGTTTAAACCATCGGTACAACTTCTGTTTTGCCTTCCTGGATCTCCTTGATAAGTTATCACAGACTGTTCCTTCCTCACAATCGTAAAACTACCACAATTTATTAGATTATTGCAGTCAAGTTATAGTGTATACTTTATTACTTGAAACACGACTGTTTACTGCCTTGGTGAACTACTAAAGGATCATCAACCTTGACTGACTTTGTTTTCCATCACAGTACAGATCAGAGAGTCATTGAAAGCCGGGCAAAAGTGAAGAGCTATCTCATTCGGGTTTGAGAATCTTCTGTAGTCCACACTCGCAATCCGTCATGGGATCAAATTAGGGCTTCCATGTAGCACGGAGAGCACACCGCCGTTTTGTTACTGAGTTATATCTGGTGGTTCAGTTTTTGAACCTTCAATAAACTCCTAAGATAACATGACTTTCGACGAGTGTGAGGAAGAAAGACACACAAATTGATATAAAATCTAGCACAGAAATGTATCTGTTCAAGTTGCCACAATACACCACAGCATGCTAAGGATAAGTGGATAGGAAAAGAATGATAAGCCGGGGGAAAATATCAAAAGGTGAAGCTAACTGAGAATATTGAAGAATTCGATGACGACTAGGAGTATATACATGTTGATCGGTCTAACCGATTATCAGCTATTTCATCGTGAATCTCGAACCATTCACTTCCCTTATCTTCAGGACTGCAAGGTGCAGAACAGACCAACAGTTAGTAACTTAATGAACTGGTGTCAGTTCTTGGTCTAGCCACTCTGATCCTTCTTTCAACTCTATCCTGCTTTGTTTAACATTGGACGTCATGGTAGGTGGTTGCTTAGCATGCTGAAGATATTTCAAAGCTGCCATAACCAGCGCAGGTTCACAACCTCTTTGTCTGACTTTCCTGTCTTGCGTGTACTCTTCGACTAGTCTAGATGTTGCTCACACAGAGATCGTATCATAAGTGAGAAATGTAGTTGAGATATCCATGGTCAGAAACCTGTAATCTCTACACATCTACTTTCTACTATTGCATCTCACAGTCATAGAATAAGAAAGAGCGAACTGTAGTGCAGCATACTAGTCCTTAAACATGTAGTTAAGTATTTTTCCGATGCATTAGATGGCATAAATTGGCAAACACCAGATTGATATTTGTATCTGACCTGAGATATCGTCAGCAACCAGTCCATCCTGATTGATGCAAACTTCCCAAGTAAGTTAGTTGGTCAGCGCATTGCACAACTTCACTCATTACCCTAAATTAGACATTGATACAGACCAGTTTTGAAGTATCTTATTAAACTTGACAGGTACAAAACGTATGCTAAAGATACTCAGATTTCTGTCTAGTGTTATCTGCGAACTTAAAGTTAGCCAGGTGCTCTCCCAGGAGTAAGTCAATCCCAGAGACGCTGGCGATACCCAAGGTTATATCCAGCAGCTGCACTATAAGAAAGTCAAACAGGAATGGTGGTAGTGGATATCGCTGGCGAACACTACCAGTTATTGCTTCCTTACTCAACAACTCACACCGAGGACCTAATAATGTTCCACGAGATCAAATAGACAACCGTGTTCAACAAAATATGTTTAGTGGGAAATGTCATCACAGTCAGACACTGCTAATTCCGATGAATGTGACAAGTGTCCGGTACCGGTAAGTATGGATGTGTTTTGAAACCTGTCAAAGTTTGAAGACTTTACCCATGTATCCTCATCCATGTGTGAAACCTACATAGTTATCCCGAGTTTGTTGTTATCTACCTCCAATTATGTGTAAGATAACATAGGCGGATAGCATCTTGAATATGATGTTAATTAGACTGATTTTCTTCTGATTGTCATAAGAAGACTTTTCATTCCTTATAAGCTGGAATGATCAGTGATGTCGACAAGTCTGAGTTGACTACCTTCAATTCCACACATTAGCTGGTAACCTACTTAATCCACTCAGTAATTTTCTACAATTCAGTGTTTCAACTTCTGTATTGTTAGTTTGTTAGTATCTAAAATCAACGTTCACTCACCTATGGTTAGTTGTTAGTGTCTCTCTTTATATCTGAACATATGGATATGACCAGTCAGTTAAAATTTGGATGGTCTTTATTGTGAACTGTATGTGTGAGTTAAACTTTCTATTTCCCCCTCCTCTGCGTTACCTTCCTTCTAAGTTTCCTTCTTTGTTTTATCTCCTATACAAGTGGACATTAATAGACATATGCAGTGACTTTTGGTCAGACAGGCATTTGGAATTTAGATTGCACTAAATATTTTCGTTTGAGTATCACTTCGTCACTAACCGAAAACAAATCTCTAAGTTTAATGAATATGTTTTAGCTACTCATAAGTAGCTAGTAATAAAAGGAGTAGTTTTGCTGGTGTCTATGATGTTTGGCAATGTAGACTGACATTTTTGTTTGAAATTATACTCCTTCAGTATTTTTTATTTTTACAATGCAGTTCGAATCGTTCATGAGACTTTAAAAACAGGTAGCTAGATTCGATTCATATGGAAGCACACTGTTCTTTCAACAAAATGCAATCCATTTTCTCGGAAATTACCAAGAAATCTGCATTTCAACCAAATAGGTGTATGCAGCCAACACACTGAAACTTGGAGTTCTTAAATTCGCATCCTTTCAGATGGAATCCCCTTTACCGTCAAAATCTTTCGCTGGAAATATTTTAAATTGTGACAATGGTCATGACAGCTAGGTGTCCATGTGACTAGTTTTCGATGTATTAATAAAGTCAGAGAGGATAGTGTAGATAACATGTAAAGGTAAAGGAGAAATCACTGCATGCATACATTCACAGGCGTTTGAGGAAGCAAGTACATTGGGTGTCCGATAAGATGTTTGGATCCCACTAAATGTGTTAATTTCTTATCATAGCATTGATTTCTGTAATAGTTTCTGCCATAAACCATCAAATATTAAAAGACTACTCATATCTAAGGAGGCTTATACCATTCAACTTCATCAGCAAATCTCTATGATAGTTTGTTCCTCTCCTCTTTTTCGTTGTAGTCGTTTTGTTTCTTCCGACACTCGTAAAATCTATAATTGACTAACATCCCATGTGCTGATATGCTTTGACTTACTTTCAATCTTGTAACCGTAGTATGCTTTAGGCGTTTAAATTTTCTAGCATTCCCTAGTTGATTATACCAGTAACCAGTCATCAATAACTAGAAAATCTCAAGTGTGTTCAGTATTCGAACGGCCTGTAGATATGTCAGATGCCTGTTACCTTTTCAACCAACACCCATTGAGTATGTATTCTGGTTGTCATTTGTTATAACGCATGAATTAACTTTACATTTTGATGTAAATTACCATGTGTAAAAGTATGAGGCTGGTGAGTTCTGCCGAAAGTTTATGAATTTAATGGACTTCGGTTTTCTCCCATTGGTTGCTTGAGTTAAATTTCCCGCAGGGAAGCAACTTTTATAGTAATAGTGGTAATGATGATAGTAATAATGATAATAATAATACTAACTTCATTGTCGTTTTGATTAGGGACTATCCAAGTTGTCAAGGTGGATAAACAACGTCCAGCTGACGAATCTATCATATCAGAACATATGTGTAATAATATTTTCGATCTATACAATCTGCCGATTGATTTAACAATGAATAATCAGGAGAACCAAACAAATTTGGATAATTCAACATCATCGAATCACCTTTATCCACAAGCCTATTGTATGAATCAATTTCACTCTGACAAAAGATACAAAAGATGCCTAAGTAAGTAGTGATTTGTTTATCCAAGTGTCAACAGGTATCTAGTTGGTGCGATAAACAGACATTGAAACAGGTATATCTAGCTAGAAATTTGTTAAATCTGTCGCAATCCAGTAGGCGTATAGAGTGTATGCAGTGGTTATCAGTGGAATCTGGGACGTGGACTTCATCCTAGTTGAAGCGAAACTAGATAAGTTGAAAAGTAATCGAACGACAGTTACTAATGTCAACAGTCGTAATGTGGGTAGAAGAAGCAGCTGAAGTTCATCCATGTTGTATGGGAAAACTACTGTGCAGCGAGAGACGAGCAGTATCCGAGTTATTGGCTTGACATTCTTAAAAAAGAGTGTGAGCGTTTTTGGGTATTGTGTAATGTTCAGTTGAATGACCGAAAGAATCACGCTTATGTTTTTAAACTAATAATATCTATAATGACAACCAACATCCATGTGGCAACTAATTCATCATAAGTGGGATTCCTATCAGACCTCAGCTGATTTATTTGAGCAGTCATATCATAAAGGCCCTTATATGATTTGATTACGCCTAAAGTTTGAATACGCTTATTGAAGTGTAGTTGTTAGCCGGTGATGTGACCTCAATAACTGTTAGTCATCAAGGCATTAGGATTGCAAACAACACTCCAGTAGTATTTCTTACTGACACTTTGGAAAAATTGTTTGCTTTTCAAATGCATTAAAAGCAGGTATAGGTGGATGTTTTCAGACTAAACTTAAGAAAAAATGCCGAATAAAACTGGATCTCCTCGTCATCGTCTTTAAGCATTACCTGGAATAATGTTTAACCTCTAAGATGGCTTTTTAGCTAAACAAAGAGTTGGTACCGTTGTATCTAAGAAAACATCATATGATAATAAGGGAAAATGTCAAGTTATTTGAATCCTTTTGGCAACTTTGCAAATTTATCTTTCTCATCTTTTAGAAAGTGGGGGTTCCCCTTATTCTTTGCTTAATTGAAACCGTAAATATTATGCCTAGCCTTTCCAAATAACCGCTACCTCTCAATCCAGTGTGGTCAGAGATTTCCGAGTAAGTCACTTAATTCCTTTAGAAGTTTGTTTTGTTGACGCCAACTTCCAGACATCCACTTCAAAACCTTAATTTCCATACATTGATTTTCAGCCTAAATCCCTAAGTCATAATTCCTGCCTCCTAATCATTATTCATAGATCCAACTTTTAGTAAACCCTGACTCTACGTCCAGTTTTCTGAGTTTTTACTGTATTTCACTTCAATATCAGTCAATTTTCATTTTGAAGAGTATTTACCCCCAAAATATCATAGTCCGATCCCCTACTTTTTCGATTCATCACTTGCGGAATTGGACGCAACTACAGTTTTGTCAAGTAGTGTCTTACTATATTCCAGGCAGAAATAGGGTGTTAATAATCAGCTGGTTCTGAAGACCTCCAAATTTATGGAGTTGACCGTTAGCGAGAAATCTGATGTATAGAAGTGAATCAGTCAGCTGTGAAAGGAGAAGACTGTAGAAGCTATTTATGCTGTAGGTACATCTTGATGACAAGTGACTACAAGAACGAGGTGTACACACATTCAAGGCTTAGTTATCTTCAAAGATACAACATGGAACACGATATGCTAAAATGTTACACCTCAGCCTAGTGACCTAGATATGTTCTTAGACCAAAGAATGTAACGTGTGCTGTACGGCCAATTCGTTTAGACTTGAATGCATCAAAGTATTGTCATCCTATGACACCAGTAATTTTGATAGTATATTGTAGGTATTATTAACACCCTATGCATATGATAATTGACGTTCGTTCCATGCGGTATCAAACTTACTAGCGAGGTTTAAATTTTCCGCTGTATACAACAGAAAATACAAGCGGATTTAAATTTATGTAATCCATTATTATTATTTTTGTGTGCATATTAACTGCGTTTATTTTACGCCGCATTTTGCTGTTATCTATCAGTCTGTGTTAACTTTTAGCGAATATTCAAAAGATATCCATTTGTTTTAACCAAATCATGACCGTTTTGACGCCACTTTCTTTTTACATAAAATATCAACATATACGTTCAGATATAGAGGAGAGTTATGGAAGTTTTCGATAAAATGTATGCTGTATATCACTGGTTTTTTTGTCCTGACATTATTCAACTCCAAAAATACATAGATTGAATGACCTGTCTAAAGGATGGACATAAAACCCTATACAACACAAAGAAAGCTATCGATGTAAACGGGTGAAAAATCAAATCTAGGTAGGATTGTAAAAATTAGGTTTTTCCTTGCCTCAACAGGAGACTTTGACCAACGCCAACAAAGCAACTCAACACGATGGTTAACTTTTGTTGAAAAATAGGTGGAATATATTGTAAAGCTGTCATCTCGTCATTCCCCATCCTAACACAATGTGGCTTCCGATTTTATTGTTTATCATAGTAAGACCAACTTATTCAATGAGATAATTGTATGTATGTGCTCATGATTGTAGAAGACAAATGCATGTAGATGGGCAGACACAGACAAAGGGTGGGGAACAACTGCTGCATTCTAATAGCTTCAATAAAAATTTTGTGGATATTTGGTTCAACCGCTAGGTAAACAGAGTAGCCAGTGTCATTAGAATTCAATTGACAGGGGGTCTATGCAACACACAATAATCAGAGTATTGTGTGGACGCAAAAAACACACGAAATAACTGCGAACACCAGCGATAAAATCCATGCATCCTTACAACCTTTTTAAATAATTGATGTCAAATTACAAGCATAGAGAAAGTGTACTCAGAGCAGGGCGGTGTAGTGAGCGATCAAATATTACTGATTAACTTGTATTCATGTGTAAACAAGCTAAAATGATTTTAGTTTTATGACTACAAGTTGAAGCAACTGTCATTCCATTGGAACATTATTATAACCATTATTTGATTTAAATACGTTCCGATTAAATGAATACTTGGAATGAGGAATATTTAATGGACGGAAAGTTGTTTTCATCAACTTCTCCGTCAGGTCTAGTTAACAGTTTTAAATCCATGGATTATGTTATACAAAAGGCCATACTTCAAATTAGAAGTGGACAGTGATAAACATCAGATGGAAATAGTATGGAATGGATGCGAATTCTGAAGGTGAAAGAAAGGCTAGTTGAGTGTGGATTGTGTTTTAAGCCCAACCGATTGAGCAGACGACTGTCGTATAAGGATGATGGGGCAATTTTAAATACTAACTGACATCAGCTAGAAAACTAATGGAATACTTGATTGAATTTGTGAACGACCGTTTCGTCCTGGTTTTCAACTCCATGCTAGTATATATCCATCCGATCAGGTACCAAGTTTTCAAGTCTACCAACATATGAGTTCTTTTTCTCTGTCTCAGCTACTGAACGCTAACACGTTTATCACCAAACATGATGGCACTGAGCTCCATTTGACTATTATGAGAAGTCCCTAGTTAGGACGAAACAGATATCCAGTCCTTCCAGGTTTCCAATAGTTTTTCAACGGATCATGATCCATGATATATATATATATATATATATATATATATATATATATATATATATATATATATATATCCTTGTAATTGAATTGGCGGTTCGCAGGGATTTTATTGATTCGTAGATAGTCGGGAAGAAATGGGTTGTAATCAGTGGAATGGAAATCCTGTGAATATTCGGAGGATCTACTGACAGACTTATGAAGCATGCATGCGTGTAAGTGAGCAGCGTGTTCTTAGACTTTGAAGTGATAAGATGGAAATAAAAGATTGACTGGTATCATTTCAAGCAGTGAAATTCACCGTTTCATTTGAAAAAGTTGCATTTATCTCTACTCACTTTTAATAAAATACAAGGGTTTAAGTACACAAAGCTAAGGTTGCACAGACAGTGAACGTAGATTATAATTGAGTACAAACTTGTTTTATACGCCAAGAATTAAGTTACCAGATGAGATGGCAATTTTTAAATTAGCCTATCTGATGAAACTGCCTTGTTTGATGAAACTGATTCTTGCCAACACCGGAACAACAGTGATTGAAGACCTTCAGTTTATAATTCAACGGTGACTTCTCTTTTCCTTCATTTTCGATCACTTCACCAGTATAATTATGAAAACAAGGTGGGTTTCAATGAAAATCACAAAAACAAAATTTAGATTTTTTACAAAACGCGAGAAATCTGTATAACTGTGCATATTTGTTGGTAGACAGATTGGTAGTCAATAAGAGGTTGTTCATTCAATTCACATGGCAAGTGGAAGAAAGTACTCAGCAATTGAAGTAAGGTGGAGATCTGATCCAGCGTTGAATCTGGTACCTATGTCAGTAGAATGGCATGGCTGGTAATCCAGAGACTACTCCTTCAACTCAGCTAGGTTTTCTTTCTAAGCAAGGCATCATTGTTGTATATTGCGTAGCATGAATGTAGGAAAATTGGTAGGTAGATATTGACAACTTTGAACTTGGCATGACTATATTTCGGTGCAAGTTGCTCGCACCTATTCAGACCAACAGACCGGGATGAAAATCGACAAGTGTAATGAAGAAGGGAAGAATACTAGGACAGTATCAATAGTCGAATTATCTACCTGTAAAGGAGGTTATGATACTAAGAACAAGTTGTTATACCTTCCAGTTGGACTTCATTTTTAGGTGGGAAGATTCGCTCACTTTGTTGACTCTGATTTGACAGGTGTAAATTATACACCAGCTATTCTATTTAGATTGGAAATACGAATCCTTGTAGAATTTGGGTTTCGATCTCCATTCAGACGACAGATATAGCCAATTTGCTTGCCTAAGTCAAATGAGTCTGGCCTCACTTCGGTCTACTGTTCCGTACACATCAGTCACCCCTCTGATTTACGGGATACAGGCACAGCTGTTGACTGAGGAACTTTTCAAAGGTCTTTGCTTCCCAGTTAAAAGCTGTTATATTGTCACTCATTTCAGTCATATGTCTTGAAATTGTCCATCAATTTATTAAAGTGTTTTTCGCCATCCTTTCTTCGTCTTCCTCAGGTGAATCTACTCAAAACAACCCTGTAATACTTCCATGTATATTTTGTCAAACTACCCACAAATCTGCATATGAACTATCGAATCATTTAAAGCAAGTGCATCAAGTAGATCTCGATCAATTTACACCTCGAATTTATTATGACCTTCAAGGTGTGGAATTAAACACACAGACTGATGAGCATATGATTGAAGCGAAACAGTTTACAATGGAAAAACGGTTGAATCATGACTCAAAAAATGGAAGTGTAGAAGATTTGCATTTCACTCAGTATCCTTTCAATCCAGTTGCTTTCGTTAGCAAGACAAGTAAATTAATTAAGGATGAAACTAACAGAAGAAAAGTGTTTTATGGAAGACATGATATGTGCGAATATTGTGGTAAAATATTTCGAAATTGTAGTAATCTCACTGTACATCGACGTACTCATACAGGCGAAAAGCCATATCATTGTAATTTGTGTTCATATGCATGTGCTCAATCGTCAAAGCTAACAAGACATATGAGAACGCATACTAAGCAAAATCACGTTCATCGGGAAGGTAAATTGAACTCCACTTACTCTGTACACTTAGAAGATTAATTTGACGGAAGAATTCAGTGAAAATTATTGCAATAAAAGCTTCAAATTACCTGCTACATATGAACATCATTTGGAAAGATGCAAGTGAGGTGTTTGAAACACTGAACTTAGCAATTTCATATAACGTAGATGAATGGCTAAATGTAAACATTGCCTTACAAGTAATTGTGTGCGTGAAGAATGTAGGAGGAACTAATGGTAGTTAAGTGATTGTTGAATAATTTTGAAGTTGTTAGAGAAACCAAATCAAAAACTTATTTGTTTCTACGTAGGCGCCAAATTTATCTTTTACCACTAGTATCGCGTGGATGCAACTTGATTATAATAAAGCTTTTTCCTAAATGAATCTTTTTATGATTTCCATGAATAATATCAAGATTTCACCTCAGAGTATTGTAAATATTGGGAGCAGAGTAAAAGGGTGACGTTAGATATAGTTTTCATTTGTGTAAATTATAGCGTGTTGGAAATGAAATAATTTCTTCGTACAGTCTGTACGAAGACGACTGGACATGGAGATTATGTTCACGTCTTCGGATACATTTACACAAATACAAACTATATTTTTATGATATTCATACAAATAGTGCTCGCTCACTGATGAATGAGTAGATAAACTTAGTGAAATGCATTTTATCAAGAATCTAACTGCATATTGCTCTAATGAAGACTACATTTCATCAGACATATTTCTGGCGTCAATGTGTAATGCGTTTTCTGAATAAATGAATCAAATGAGATGAATTGATTTAAATCGCTGTTGTGAGATAATTCCAAGCAAATATCTTCATAACTAAGAAGGAAACATTGTTATCAGTAGGGTAGGAGTGGTCTTGAATAAGATGATCAATTTGTAAGTGATTTACAAATTGCACGGTTCAGGTTGATATTCCTCACAGCTGAGTAGTTTTTCAACTGCCTAACTGTGCTATCAACAGAGGTTCCGTTGGAAAGCACATGACAGCCAAAAACACGAGGTGTGATCTCTGACACAAAAGTGTCATGAACTAGTGAGACATACTTTTACCGAACAACTCGAGTAGTCAGAAACTACTCAGACTGATCTGTAGATGTTGCCACTCAGCCAGATAGGAGTGATCCAAGCACCAGATGGCCGTTTCGCTCATTTGAAGCGGAGGTCATCGGTGGTGTACTCGGAGAAGTTCAGCTCGAGGAGTTGAGATAATCTGCATCTAACTGGTTATTTCTATGATAGGTTGATGGATTGTGAAATGAGCCGGGTAACGCTACTTATATTTGTAGTGAATATTTACACAATGAGCACTGTTTGTTTCTATGTGCTACACTAGACATTATACTCTGGGTACTGATCAAGACATTACTTACGATCTGGGAAATAAAATGAAGTTTGCAATGATTGAGAAAAGAAATATCACCTTTCCGTTATTGCTTCATTATAGCTCTACGCTATTATGTCTGTAAGTTCTAGAGTCAATATCACAACACAAGTGTAATCATCATACACTAATTGATTTATCAAACGGACTTGAATAGTCAGAGTCTACTCCTGTTTGCAACCAAATACATAATTTTGTGTGCTTTCTGAATTTAAACAAAGTAAAGCAATAAGAACAAGTTATGATGAGCATGATGAGTTCAGTGTATTTCGTGAGTATCTTCAGCCAAAAACAAAATGATGTACAAAAGATATGAAAACAAATAACATCACTTTCCGCTCACATCACTACAGACTGAATATACCAACGGTCTATTTGAAAGTAGTGCAAAAGATAGAAGTGTGTAAAGTTCGAAATTAAAAGCCGTCGAGGTGTGAGGGAGTTGTTGGTGTTGATGCGAAAATTTCGGAAATACTGCCAATATGATGATGATGTTGATGATAGGAAATTTATTACCCACCTATCTAGGATAGCCAAGGTTGACAAATTAGTCTTTGCATAAACAATTCAGAGAGAAGTTGAAGCGGGTTATAGCGGGATGGAACCGGTTGTATGTGGGTATGTAATACGTTAAACCATCATCTTATCTATGAAATGAAGCAGCTTAACACGTCTCATTTTTCACCGTAGTCATATGGTGTTTTCTTAGATAGTTACATGAAATAAAAGTACATATATTTCCGTTCTTTCTTAAACCTGCCATGCATTCAGTTCTCATCATAATCTAAATGGTGCTGAATTAGAAACACAAGGCAAATAAATGATTACTAATTGCACTACCCCAACCTACAACAACAAGCACCAACCAACACTAACGGGAGAAACCTAAAGGATGTAATCTTTTTAATCTACTTACCTACCTAGACAGCATTGTTTCAACTACAGGTGGCACAGACGAGGATTTCAAAACCAGGATCGGTAAGACAGGCTTTCACTAGTCTGAAATCAGTGTGGAGATCTACTGCACTCCACTCAGCACAAAGAACAAGATCCGAATTTCCAACACCAATGTCAGTCAAGTCAGTGCTTCTATATGGTTCAGAAACTTGGTGCGTCAAGAAAAGTATTTCCAACAAACTACAGACATTCATCAACAGCTGCTGCCTACGCTGGCTCAATACTGAAGATTAGATGGCCAGAATAATAAGAATAAGCAACAAGAAACTTTGGGAACGAATAAACCAAGAACCTATCACCCAACAAATATGCAGAAGGAAGTGGAGATGGATTGGGCATACACTGAGAAGGCTGACATCACACGCCAGGCCATCGAGTGGAATTCAAAGGGGGAACGACGAGTCGGGGGTCCCAGACGAGGGTGACATGGAGGAGATCGTGTGAAGAAGAAATGAAAGCTTGTGGGTAGTCGTGGCGCCAGGTTGAAAAGACTGCAGAGAACAGAGTGCTATGGAGGCGTGCTACTGAAGCCCTATGTTCCACTAGGAACCCAAGGGTAAAATAATAATAAATAATAAAATAATTGCACTACCTGAGAAAGATTCAACTAGCAGAATGTTCTTCACATAACACTGTTTATCGAAAACTAAGGTTGATAGGACCCAACCCAGTTGAATACTACTTGACAGTCATTTGTGTGCTGTTCAACAGAATCACACACTAAGAATTAAGAAGGATAGTGATACACGCCATTTCGTTTTGATTATTTTTGCTTGCGAATTTATTGAGCGCAGTCCAAATGAAGTCATAGATGAATTCTGCCGAAAACTGTCTAGCCAAGTGTTCAGAGGCGGTAGTCGCTACAGGGAATTTCAATGCGGATGTAACTAGACTTAACAAGACAGACACTTCTGTGACATTTTCGGAGTCGCAATCAAGCAAATGGATAAGGAAAGTTGTATGTCTCAGTGAACTCAATTTATGACCTATTTCTGGCCAGTACTAATTCAATTTATGAAGAGAGCCATCTGTTTGATATGACGTACGTTACCCTCAATCCAGCGGTGGATACAGATATCATGCCCTTATCGGTTGGCACTGAAGGGGCTTCGTAGAAGATTGCTCTCCATTCTGGAGAATGCGTGTTGATAGCGATCACACTACTTCAATTACGTATATTTGTATCGAAATGGACAAAGGAAAACAATAGTTGGAAGATTGTTTCGGGGGATACTCGGCGTTAAGGATACTATGGTTGCTTCTTCCAAAGGGGGGCTAGCTAGGTGATTATCAAGGAGTGACAATGTTACTTATCTCAAAAAAGCCACACACCATCTGCAGTCTACTGTGAAAAAAATAATGACCCTCAGAAAGAAGTTAGGAAGTATCAGCAGATTTCACTAGCTTCAACACAGTTAATGGAGTCCTGTGTGCACATTCCGACAGGCTTCTAACACAATAAGGAACTCATCTAGCTTGGTCTTCAGTAAAAGAGGCGAGTCAGTTGATAAGGCTATGAACCTTCAATCATTGAGATGGTCATAACATATGTTACGTAGGCATAGTCTTCAGCTACCTTGACGCATAATGTTAGTTGAAGTGCTCTTAGGTTGGATACGGTTTAAAAATGGTTAGACCGTAATGTGACATTAGTTCATGAAGTCTATGACGGTTAGCATGAGGCATGTAGAGAAACGCAGATTTTTATCATAAGATTCCTTTACCTTATCGTTCTGTATCCTTAGTGCTGGTGTAAGGTGTGGCAATTTGGTTAGCTGAGCAATGTTACCAGATCTCATTTTGCTACTGACTGTTTTAGTAGACAGTGAATTAGTATTTATGACGTTGTAGTACTGAGTTAGCATTTATTCTGCATTTCGAGAAGTCTTTCACACTGTTTATAAAGATGTACGACTGACAAGATTAAATGGTGAAGAATTTCATTTGATGAGAAAGGGCTAGCAAGAATTTTGAAAGCGAAACGGTGATATCTACCTAATAATATTTATTCCTAACTATTCACCATAACAACTAAAGAACCAATGAAGACCATGAAAAACTAGGTAGTTTCGTTTCAAACTTCTTAGCAGTGCGCATCCATGATGAGATCCAGTCTCTGTGGATTTTCCGAATCACTATTGAGCAGTTGTAGCGTGTGGGGTTAATCGGGATAGTTGCAAGGACAGTCGGCTACCAATGATATGAGATGGTCGTCATGTTCCATTTCGAAATGATAGGAGTCTTAAAACATGTCCCATTGGGTTGTAACCTCCACCTACCGAGGTTTGGGCAATAAGGTAGGATCATTAGTCTGTACACAAAACTTGTCGATCACTGCTTACTGTACTAAAGTGTACGTGGTTGCTGAAAACATTTTAACTTTTCCGTGGTCAGTTATTGTTGCAACACCTCTTGGTTAGTATCACGTTCAGTTAAATAAATATGGCAAATGTCGGCCGCCGGTAAATTTGCCTGTCTTCAAAAACATCTTAAAGGGTGAGGATCTTGTTGATACACTGTCATCCAGTTATGAAACTTACCTGGCCTTTTTGAGCTCCAGCTAAGTATTAGATAGAAATGTGCTGTAAGACTTTAGATACTACGTGAGTCAAATCGATGCCCCCATGGTCGTTACAAGAAAACTTCTCTCTTCTCTAAAAAACTGAAATGATCAGCTATCTCGGTCAGTCTAACGTGATTAGGTTTGATTTTCACACATTAGCTACGAATTCCATTACTCCACTGAATGATTTTGTAAATACCATTGGTGAAGTTATATCCTTAAATTTCACAAATTTCTTACTGGAAATTTGAATCATATTTTCCGTGCTTTCTTCTGTCTCACGTGTATCACTCAATTTTGCGGCTTTTATGAACTCTGTGTTCCTATTGCTTGATCTTCCAATTCTGATGTGCCATTTTGTCTATTCGTCTCAGGGGTGCATATATTGCTTTTAAACGCAAGAGTTATATACCTGGGTTGCTACCGTGATACTTCGTCGGGAGTAAACTCACTTCAGTCCATCAATATCTTCTTCTTTCGTCAATTGTCAAGCATCATGTCGTTCATCCAGTAACTAGATTACGCATCCCTAATGGATCGTATCTGAGAAACTCAACAAATACATCCTTACAAACTCCTGTCGGTCATATTATTAGGTTCTGTTTTGTATTACTTTAGGTTTGAAAGTTTTCACAACTTCGAGGAGAGTTGGAGGACCAACATCTATGTCCCATCCAGGTTTGAACTAGATGGTGGGCAACTGAAGCAATTGGCTATGGGCCAGTTGGACTGTTCTTTAGTGTTCTTCCCAATGTTACAGCTGCTCCTGAGAGGTGCTCTCGGACCCATCCTTTTCTGTGATGAACTCACTAAAAATTGTTGTCTTTTTGTGCATTTTCTTCTCTACAACTGAGTGCTATGCTTACATAATCAAGTCCACAGGACTCATCATACTAGTTAGATGAGGTCTAGTGAATAATCACATGTGTATCAGAAAAACGACATACATCCATGGTTCGAAATCACAAAGATTTTGCAAATGATGCTACCTATTGGATTAGGCACACGGTTCGGACTTTGAAAACTTCAATGTAACACACCACATGGTTTTCCATGTTAGGAATGATGTTTTGCTGACTTGATAGGCTAGGATTATATGTTGAAAAGGCTGTAAAGACACAAGGAGATGAAGATAAGTCTCCAGGTAGATTAGTTGTCGTCAGTAAGGGGCAGTTGTTGATTCAATCTAGTTGGTCCCAGAAGTCACGTCTATTTTCTGCAACTTCGAAAGTGTATTGTATTGGTACTCGCTAATTTCTAAAGATTCCCAGTTAGTTTGAGTTTGTGAACAAAGTTATCTTGAATGAATTATGCTATTCAGCGGCAAAAATCGTTTTTGATGGCTTATTCTGTGATGTTACACAAAATTCGGTTTTAAATGATACACTTGAATACTGACTAGTTGGTTTTCGAATCTGTTTTTATTCGTCGAGGAAAGCTAGTCATAGATGGTGATGTTTTTGACCTGGTGATTTTACGTCGAGCCCGGTACCCATTGTTTCAAACGCCAAAGCGCTATCCGCTAGGTCACTGAAGTTTCATGAGACAAGTTCTTAAGTGAAATTAGTTTTCTGAAGAGAACATTTCATCATGGAGTTTAGAAGTACAGGGAAAAGTCCAATATACTGTCATGATGTTTGCTGACCTGAAAAACTGTTTAACACTATGAGTTTGTTCAAGTTCAGGAAAACATGTGTCCAAATGAATTGACTTTAGTCAGCATTCTGGATGTACTGTGATCCAGTCAACTAGTTATCAAATTAGAGACTTATCCCCAACTTCCATTTCAACTGCAATATCTGCTTTATAATTATCCAAGAATATTTTACCAAACAAACTCGTAACACTCGTCACTAACGGTTAGAATATTTCCATTTCACGATTGTATTTTAAATACAAAAACTCCCAAAGTATAAGACGATATTACTTCCTCTGATTTTTTTCGCTTAGTTAAATGTAAGCAAAAGAATCCTAAAGTCAGGGAAGCATGTGTATTACTATTATTATACGAGATTACCACGTATACATTTGTGTATTTTACATAAAAATGGAGATGAACATTCAAACTCTGAAGTGCAATCTTATGTATTCAATGGAAAAAAGGCCAAGGAAAAAAGACAATTATGATTCCCAATCAACGACATAATAGTAGAAAGGAAGAAGTTGGCAGAAACAAACTGGCGAAGAAGATAAATTCTATAAATTTGAAACAAAATCTTCAGTAAAAATGGATAGCTCAACGCCGAGATGTTTCATTTGTACTGAAATTATCAGTAAAGGAAAAGAAAGGAACTAAAGTTGCAGACACTACCGGGATTTTTACAACATTTGAGGAAACTTAGATTTTAGGAAAATTGATGTTTATAACCATAATAGAAGTAAGCAGGTGTTGAATGAGTTTTACGCGTAGCTGATACCAGTGAATGAAGTGAAGGCTATGCGATAAGTAATAATAACTGATATGAGTCGATATCGAGGAACAGAACACAGAGGTAAACTATTTAAAATACTGACAGTCGTAAAAGTTAGTCAGGAAAACAAATACATGATACATTAAAAAATGAAAATGACAATTCAATAAAGTCAAATGAAGAAAAATATAAACATGAACATTTTTACATAATTCATAGCAAGGTATAAAGTCACTTTTAGTGTGAAATATAAAACGGTGAAGTCAATTTCAAGACGATAATCATCTGTTGATGATGAGGATTGTGCAGATATGTGTATATAACCGATGACAGTGTATGACTGAAATAATATATTCAGCACTGTGAACAGCTGAAATTTCTTCTTTGGTAGTGGTACTAAGGAGAAGACATGAAGATAAAAGGTTATACAAACCTAACTAATAGTAGTCACAAGTTGTATACTTCAAATATTGTAAATAGGTGAACGTGTATGCTTAGAAAATGAAAAATTAATTATCCTATTCCTTAATTAGTAATTGGGATTGTTTCCTTGAAGTTGAATTCAAGTGTTAGATGCTAGTAGGCAATTAGCATACACTAAAAATATGCATCTGCGACCTTTGAAGCGTTGAACACGTGTTCCTGAGTAATAGAAGTTTTCACTGTTAGTCGATCGTCTGGAAGAATGAACTATGTAGACGAATCTATCACGCAATGAGAATAGTTGTAGTTATCCATTGATTCTGAATATCATTTACTAAATCCAATGCACCGCAGTCGCATATCCATATTACAAATTCGATTGGTCAGACTTCAGCAACAACACTGGAAACTTTGGCAGCTACATCAGCTATCATCTTGTGACCAATTCCCATAGATGTACATCTTGATTCAACATAACAAACAAGATACAAAGAAACCTAACCTGAGTTATGCATAGCCAAATAAAGTATATACCACAAACTTGATTGATGAGTATTCAGTGATACTCAGAACAGGATAGAAGAAAACTAAGCAATAGATACTAGTCGATTAGATTTTTAGTTATCGATGCATAAAAAACTTTATTCAGAATCATTAACAGGATGTGTACACACATGTAAGCTAACTGAAATTGCTGACATCTAAAATGCAGCGAAAGGTGTTAACAAATAGGTGGGATTGTTTTGTTACTCCACGTTGAAACTATAAAACAAGTTTATGTAAAGTGTGTGAAAATCACTAAGTTTAAGTTTATCAATTGTTCTATTTAAATTTATCTTTTACATCATAACATGTGCACTGGAAAATGAAAGTAATGTAATTTAACCTCGTACAAGTTTATGTATTAGACTACAAGCCACACTATAAGGGCTTATTTTACTACCTTGTTGTCAAGGTTAACGTAAGGGGAGCGCGATTTGAACCCAGCATTCACTTTTTAAAAGTCAAATGGTATGCATTTAAGAATTTTTAAAATTTCTTTGTTCTTTAACCAAAAGCGGGCTTTTGGAATTATTTGTTGATGAGATGTTTATTAGCATCATGACACTTCAGTTAGAATACTTCAGTTAAAAACACGCAGCATACAAACACGTTAAACGGATTACCCGATATGCTGCTCAGATAAAAACTCAATGGTTTGAAGTATTCAAACAACATCTTACTGGGTGATGGTATGGAAGATTTTAATAAAATTGGTAGAACACATCACCTAAGCTTATTCTGGATGGTGATTTGTCGGGAACAGTAAAAACGTGTATGTCAGTATTATGTACAGAAACACCGCAGAAAACAAAAGGTGATAACAATCGACTAGTATAAATTTACCAGTAGAAATGTGATGGTCAAGTAGACTACACTTTGGGATGCTGAGACAGGAGAATGTTTGCTAATTTTACTTTATTGTAAGGTTCAACATATTTAGCCATACCAAAGGTAATTTCCGAATAAACAATCACCACTGCCACCCTGAACTGTTTTTCGGTAGGAAATCGAGTGTAGAGTGAAGTGAAAGGACTTGTTAAGAATTTCGAAAACTGTATCAGTATATAGTGAGCAGTGCTTATCTGTGTTTCGATTATGAGGTCAGTTTCCATGTGATATCCCCCCCCCACTGGGTAAATAAGACTTCAGTTATGCATAGTTCTCTTCTACATCAGTAGAAATAGGTTGAAATTGTTTAATGCTTGTTCATTGTCAGTGAATGCCATCTTCTTAGAAGGGGTTGGTGGAAGTGTTTTTTATAGTTGACATGATTATCGAGCCCTTGATGTCATGCTGTCCAATGCTAGGACAGGCTCCATATATTTCATAGCAGCAGCTTTCATAGAAAATAGTTACTTAAGGGTAGGATATGTTGGAAGCGATGCAGTCAAGATAATGGACGAACCGAATATCTTTTAATGGATCACAAGTCACTGGATGAAGTCCAAAAGATGATATGATTCATCGGCTCAACATATTGCCACTGATACTTTTTTAGTATTATTTAATGGTAACCTTGCCGTAAGGAGTGGATATACATCTTAGCGTCCTATATGCTTGACTAATAAGTCGCTGAGTTACAGATTCGAAATGACTTCATTCAACTCGGTATAGATAAATGCATAATATGATAGACACATTTACCATGGATGCGGCTGGGGAAGGTGCACGCAATAACTGAGTTAGCTTCACTATTTGATCGAATGATAAGACAAAAACCAACTATACTATACACATGAATAAAGCTGATCAAAATACATACTTACCCGTGGCTAAATAAAGTCTAAAAAACATACGGAACGATAAACAAACAGCCAATAAAACAAAGAAGTCGAAGACAAATTTTCAAAAAACAACAACAAACAACTCAATTTGAAACAGTCGTTAAACTATAACCATTTGAATAATCAGCTGCACAAGTAGAATGATGAGTACGATCTGTTGAAACGTTGTCATTAAATCCTAGAGTGGTAGAGTTTACTGCGGTTACCACAGCTACTGGTTGAAATAATTCATTTGATAGATACATATCATTTGATAAGTCATAAGGAGCTGATAGCGTGACTTGAGAAGAGTGCATCATCTCATCAACAGATGATGAACACAAAGGTTGATGACGGTAAGGAGGAGAAGCAGCAACAGACAGATGGCAATGAGCAGATTCATCATTATCAATGTGAGCATCCTCATTATTATCCGAAGTAGAAAAATGAGGCGGAGAAGGTTGTGATGATGAGGGTGAATTCCGATGCGGATCAGTAATAGTAAAATCAATTACATTGGGTTTATTTATCTTTTGACAACGCGTTATTGTTTCATAATTTTCCATGTTCAATGTACGCACATATAATTGTTCTTTAAGAAGTTCTAAAAAAGCCTCTTCAGATAAATCACTTTGGAATAATAACTTAACTGGTTTTGAACGTACTGGAGTTAAACAAAATGGACATCTTGCGTGTAATTCAAAATTGTGTCGATTCAATAGACGTAAACCACACCAATAACTAGAGGAATAGAGAAAAAAAAAATAAAGCATAATATATTCGTTTATTTCGAAATTAAAGTTCCAATTTCACCATAAAGTTGGTGATGGTGTCATACAACCTGGTGATGAAACGTCCATGACCGACTTTCAGCCGTGTTACCAAGAGTCCTCAACCACTCATTCCTGTCGTCTCACGGACCACAAATAGCTAGTCTATGCCTCCCCACACGGCTCACACCAACAGTCAGGGGCTTCATAGACTGGCACCATCTCTTGGTCTGGCGACCCTGAAGCCTCCTCCAACCCGACCCAACTTCACCTAGCACGGGACATCGAGGTAGGTGGTGGCTCGCCATGCGCAACACATATCCGAGCCGCCTCAGTTGATAAGGTTCATAACATCATCAATCGACTTCATTGTCTTACTTAGTATCCTTCGTCTGACCTCAACATTGCTCAAACGGTGATTCCACCGAACGCGAACAATGCGACAAAGACACCTATCGTCAAAAATCTGTGACTGCTTCATGTCTTAACTTTCAACGTTCATGTCTCACGGCCGTACAACAGGATAGAACAGACTATAGCAAAGTATACTTTTCCTTTGAGAGGTAGTTGGATATCTCACAGGCACCATGCATCAGGTAAGATGTAGCAGCTTATATCCAGTTTGGGGTAAAAACGGTATCTGACAGGAAACTGCTGAAATAGAAATAAACACTTTAGTTGGTCAACTAGTGAGCTAGAGGTTTGCAAACCTCAAATTTTCACTGGTGCGCTAGAATATGGTCGAAATAATCTTATTAAGCAGGTTTGTGAATAAATGAACCTTATTTCAGTCCACAATCTGTTCAATTGAAATTATAATATGGACATTGTTGGGCTTAGATATCACCGTATAATATAAACGGTGTTGTTGAATTGACAACTTCATATATAATGATGGTAATGTGAGTTTTATCAGGTGTTATTATCCAGAGTTCTACCCGAATAAGGTGATTAGTTATATTTTGTGACTTTTATGTGGGATATTCTCCTACCATATATTTAGTGGTATAAGGTGTATAATATATGCATCGGGATAATTCGAGCAGAAACTGCCGAATCAGTTTTCATAACTGTGATATTCACTTCAAAAATACAGTAAGTTCATATGTCTTGGATAACTGCCTTAACTGCTGATTCAATTGTGACGCTTTTATTGTTGTTCGAGATAACGTCAACTTCAAAAGATATGGGGTGTTGAAAATCTCTTCACAAGTGGCTACTTCCTGTATCGTGGTGACGTCGACTACAACTAGGTGTCTTTATGTACATCTGCGTTTCTATAGCCTGCCTTAGTCATCTGATATACAACCATGTGACTGTTGCTTTTTCCTTATTGATTGGTGGACTGGGTCAATATCAGTATTGTCTACTGACAACAGGTTGATCTTAGTAGCAAGTTTCTGCAAGCTCCCTTGCGGTTTAGAGAACACACAGTATTCTAAGCTTCTACTTCCTTGTTTACTTCAGGAGAACTACCTCAAAAAACGTATAAAAATAAAACGGTCAAGTTCCATAAATCACATAGATTTATATCTTGATTTCAATGATCAGATAACCGAACAGATACAAGGAAGGCTATTGGGATCACTGGAGAAATGCGAAGACTGTAAGCTGAAATTATCAGTATGAAAATTTGAGTGCGTTGTGTAGAGGACGCATTTGTCATGATTAAGAGAAGACGTGTCAAGTCTACGACAGAAAATAATTTAGGCGATAGAACTCTATTTTAGATGTTTTGATCAAAAGAAGTATAGGAAATTTGTAAACTGATAAATATCGAACACTCAAACCCACAACAGTAACCAACTAATGGCGTAAAAAAAGTTTTCCGAAGCCTCTATTCAAAAGAGTTAGGATACATTGCAGCGCTCTGACTCGGACAGGACTTAAGCGAAGCACCTTCTAACCGTCTTCCAGAAAAACAGTTGTCCATGCAATTTTATCGAGAAATCAAAAGTGAACCAATCTACTGTTTGTCAACAGAGATAAATGTAGTCGATACTAGGACTTTTAAACCTTTTGGAGTTATTTCCATCAGAAAATAACGCAGATTTTTTGTTGAACACTATTCAAGAGATAAATTCCACAATCTGTAAGGATTGTTTTAGTCGAAAAAAAGACCAAATTCCAAAATCCCAGTTCTTTTTGAATCTAGTATTGATGGTTCAGTCGATAATGCCAACCCGAAAGGCTCACAACTGAACCAATGAGTTCAGAGAAAGCAAAAAAATCAAGAAATCAATTAATCTCAGTGTTTTTAAGAATCATAATACAGTCGAGTTGTTGTCCACTGATCTATGCACTCAGCTTAAAAACGTTGGATTATGTGTGCAAACATCCGCCTTGTCTAGATCACTTTTAAGCCATCAGTTAGTATTACCAGAATGTACACGATGAGTGTGTGAGTGTACATCTATGTTAATTCATTACAAAGTCGCTGTGAGATTCATCTGAACAGATGTATATGGGGTTGTTTGAGGTTAGGATAATGACTTTATTTGTCATAATAACAACAAATTCGATATAAATTCAGTGACAATTATAATCAATTACACACACACACACACATACACACATATATATATATATATATATATATATATATATATATATATACAGCAAATAGTGATAAGTATTACAATTCGATGAGCAAATGTTACAACTATAAGGTAAAATTTAAATAACACTTACCGTACAGTATTTTCTGATGCAATATGTCCACAGGGATTGAAACAATGAGTAGCTAAACTTCGATCAACATAGAATGCTGATTCAATTCCCATACGCAATGGGATAAATGATGAAGCTTGTAAACACAAGGGGCATGTACGACGACTATTATTTCTGGATTAAAAAATGACGAAGACGCAGACCAGAGAAAGGAATGCAATCCAAATGAGGCAATTTATTCAAAGAAAGCTAACAAACAAATAGCAGTCATGAAAACAACTGTTCGATAGAAAGCAATACACATACATTTCATTTCTGATCAGTTTTAATGTAGGGTTATATTTATTGAATTCAACTTAAAATGGGGGGATGTGAGAGGGATTGACAAGGGCAACGTAGAATCTCGCATACAAGAGTGTCGGCTCAAGTTAACACACTTCGCAGTAGTACACGAAGAACAGGTGGATAGAATGAGTGATATCAAAGTAGACAAAGTTGTATGAGAGAATAAAAAATCTGAAAATGACGGTTAGTGAAAATATTCATACTTTAGAAGACGTCGAAGAGTGAATCCAACTGCGTCATTGTGATCGATTCCCATCCATGTTACCAAGAATCCTCAACAACTGATTCCTGTCATCTTGGAGACCCCAACCAGACGGTCTACATCTCTCGATACGACTCAAGTCAATAGTAAGATACTTCATCGGCTGGTGCCACATCTTGGTTTGGCCACCCTGAACTCTTTCCAAACCTAATCCGACTTTCCCCAGCACGGCACATCGTGACAGACAGTCGCTCAGCACATGCAACACGTGTCCAAGCCATCTCAGCCGGACCTCAACATTGCTCACACACTGATTCCACTAAAGCCAAGTAATGCGGAACAAAACTTATGTGTAGGGCTACTGTGCGAATAGACACTAATTCATGTTATTTAAATTTTTGTGAAAGAACCCTAAAAATATTTATTTTTAGGTGACACAAACTTTACATTTTGGGTCCATAGAGAAGCCAAAAAACTGTCAGAAACATTCTCAGTCAATTAGCATGCTTGGTCGATCGTATGAGTCCTCTCAACGCTGTGCTGAATGGTTAGTCTACTTGTTGTTTCTTTTCATACAGAAACTCACTACAAGACTATTAGTAAATGGTATTGTGCAGAAATTAGCGTTTTGAGATTATAAAAAGCAAAGCAGGAGAGGAACAAGAAAAACCCCACAGAGTGATCACAGAAAGAAAGTCAAGTAGTTTCCAAAACTTTTGCACTGTACTTAAGGAATAGAAGATAAGGAAAAACTGCAGCATGCTCATCATTGGTTTCGACTCAGACTCATATGTGATAACATTTCAAGTTGAGTCCAGCGATCTTTTAGATCTCACTTCACTAATAGATACCAATCAAAATCAACTATCGTTCACTGAATAACACGGTGGTAAGAAGGTAAAATCTGTTTGGATTGCTTATAAACAAGTAGTGATCTGCATGTGGGCCACTGAGACGGTATGTCGAAGGCTCTTCCAAACCAGTGGAACTAGTGTTTTGAAGTGACTTCATTAATAGAGCGATGATCCTTCGTCAGAACTCAAGACAACTTAGAGAGTGTTTCCATAGGAAGCAAACAACCTTAAACAGACAACCGTGACCAGACACTACTAGCTCGGTTTCCCCGGGTCCCACAGGTATAGCGCAAAACTGTCAGGGTCATTTCGCTGGACATCGAACTTTGTTCAGTTAGAATGATGTTATCACACAGTCACAGGTGAACTAGAATGGTGTATGATGTTCTATTCATGTTGTGATGTAACACCTTTGTCGTTTCCTTATTTATCCATAGTGTTGTTACATTTTTGTAAGCTTTTTACTTTGTGCTCATGCTCTAATAAGTTTGTGTTTCGAATAAATCATTATCTCAATGAAGAATTTAAGGCATTAAACCTCTACAAGCACCTACATTGCTAACCGTATTCAAAACCACATGCCGATCACCGACTGATTAGGTATGATTGGATTTATTGCTAAGTAAGACAATGCCATCCAGATACTCTGGGTTAGGTGATTGCTCCCTGGGTAGCAGATCTTCACCATCGTCAGGCGCCTCTTTTAGACCTGCATGAGGTAAGTCATCCATGTTAAGAAAAATGGCAGAATCTGGTGGATCCGCATAATCTCACCAACGTGGTGGAACAATGGAGAAAGACGACTGTATTTTTTTTTTTTATACTATACTTGAGGCATTTTTGCAATGGGTCATCAATATGTTAATCTAGTCTCAGAGACAGAAAATTCGAGAATATCCAGTGGACCAAAGATATGTTTAATATTAAGATACTAATCGTCAACTGACTGAGTGCTGTTTGGGTTGGCCGCATAGTATCTCACAGTTAACACTAAAAAGCAGACAATTCTCTGGTTTGTTACTTATAAAAAAAGTTACCATATGATATTCGTAAGCCCAGTGACTGGTAACCACATAAATAAACCTTAGTTTGCTTACATAGAACAACGTCAAAATAAAATAGTGATGTTTCCGGTTTCTACATGTAAATGCCGATAGACTATAGACTAAACTACTTGATGTATACTTACGATAGACGGAGAAATCAATGTAGAATGCACAAAAGCGCATCAGCTCAAGCTGCCGAATTTATAAATACCACATGAGGAAGAAGTGGATAAAAAAAGAATGACGTTTAAAGTGGATATAAGTGTTTGAGAGAAGATCGTTTATGGTGTTTTGTGGATGCTTAAGCTACAGAAGTTAAAAAGAAATAGAGCCTGATACAACTGTCAATAGTCAATAAGGCATATCTGGTGTTTGATATCCAGTCACATCAATAATATACTTCAGGATAATATGGTCCAGGAAGATGGTTCCGTAACTTGGTAGTTTTAAAAGCAATTATCTAGGTATAAAACTGCCTAACGCTTTGCATATCCAACAAAGTGATTTTATGTTCAGAATGTACTGGAATTACTCCTCAGATTGTATTTTTAACAAAGATAAGTGAGATGATCACCTTGAAGTTCACAGTGACTATAAGATATAACTATGCACGTAGAATTGAACACCAATTACTGTTGACTGACATAAGCGTTTGCCATTCACTCGAAAATAGGTCAGTGGTGTTCAGTGACCAGATCGAGGTGATTGAAACTAACTGTTTTGCTCGTTTGCAGGCAAGCGAAGTCATGTGATATCCCCTCCAGATTAACTAGGTTTATAAAGCACCACAAATTGGTGTGAGAAGCGTTTCGGAATAATTATATCAATGAGTGGTACATATAACAGCTTTCTTGATGTTGTTCAATGTGGAGTAGATTATTTTTCCAAGGAAAAAACAAGTTGGAATTTTGCACTGACATTGCATTTCGTTGTGTCATTTTATATGCGGACTAAGAACTATGCAGACATTTAATTTGATCAGTGGTGTATTTTTTTTGTAAGTGGGACAACTACTTCATACTCTTCTGTTTCTGCGTTTGCTTGAGGTAAACACCGGATTTACTCCACAAACACTCCATCAAGACCATGAAAATCTTGTCTTAGTTCAAAACTTTGTGCTATCTCATTATCATAGTTTCCTTTGATGGTATGTACACTACTTTGTTTGATGTAGGAGGGTTGGAGGCAATATGCAGGAAGCTCTGAACCGAGGATTAGTGCTTGTTGGCATTAACTTCAGCAAGGTGCATCTAAAACCTTGAGGGTACTAGTATCCTCTCAGAGAAACCAACCAACACGGCCCAGTGCTGCAGACAGAGATGTTACCATTGCGCTATTCGGGCTGCGATTCTCTTCCTGTCAAACAGTATTAGATACATCTAATGGTCAGTGGAGAGTAACCAACTTTATTCATATAAGTGTCAAACTTAGGCACTGCGGTAGAATTTGATTCCATATTAGATTTGTCTACTTGATATGCAGCACACAATAATACAGTATTATTTACTTGATGACGTTTCGAACATACATTATTGCTCATAATCATACAACTGTAATCACACTACTTTCAACACCTGATTTTTATAGTCTTGTCACCTCATATTTTTTGTTTTTCTTGATAGTAGAATTCTCCATATCTCTGGTATAGGTGTTGCATCATTTCTATTAAGTGTGTTGAGTGTAGATAGATTCAATGAACAAAGATTCAGTGACCAATCTCTCCACTAAATAATATTGGACTTAAGTACAGTGGTTTTACCTCAACCTATTGTGTGGTTGTGTGTTAATGCATGCAATGCAATAGCTGAGTTTTTTTCTAGATTATTGATCCTATTGGGGTCTCATTTTATACTAAACTAAATCCCTATGTCCCGCTAATCTAACTGACAACGACCGGCTAGTTTGACTAATGTACATGGTCTCAAAGTTATTGCATCGAATTTGGCAGATCAGATTACTTTGGTTTATCGGACCCTTGAGCCAGCAAAGATTTTCTCTGAGTGAGTTTTTACATTTAAATGCCACCCTAATTCCAGCCTTGTTGAGGATCACGTAAAGTTACCGATGTTCCTTCCTTATATGGTAACACAAAACAGGCTTTGCACTTATTTCTACTCATGTTGTCGCCAGTATTCGTATTACTGTTACCATTTGTTTCTTACGTGTTCGCACGAATTTCTTCATAAACGGCAGAGGATAATTAGTAATTAGTAACGCTTCTTTTATGTATTTCAATCCCTTGTTTAAGTTCTTACAATGTTTAGGGAATTTTCTAGCTATGTCAGTTAGACATTTGACTAACCTCGACTTAGCTGATATTCGATGAGGTTACCTGAAATCTAGATATGTGCTAGAATGTGTCGGTTTCCTGCAGACGGTAGTACTCAAACCACTGTCTGTCCTTCGTTTTATTTTGCAATCCAATGTAGCTAATTCTCTCAGCTTATTTTCTACCTCGTAAATAGTGAATTGGGTAGCGTCTACTACTGAGTTTATATGTGTGAGGAAACTGTCGATATGTTCCTATTTCAACACAGTAAATGTGTCATCCACATACCCCCAACAAATCTTAGGTCCGCGAATAAACGTTCATAAAGTCATGTCTTCCCAACTATCGATAAATATATCTGCTCCAATTGGGGATAATGGTGATCCCATTGCTACTTCATCTGTTCGGCGAAATATTTTGTCCTTTGAAGATTGTGGAGGTCAGGCACAACTGTACGCCTAATATGATCTCATCAGCTGATATCTTAGTTCTGTGAGTAAGTTCTGAGTCAACATTTAGTTGGTTTTTGACTGCTTCCAGTGCCATATTGATTGGTATTTTAGTATAACAGATGTAATAGAAATGATGTAACACCTGTACTAGAGATATGGGAAATTTTACTACGAATAAAAACAAACAATAAGACGTGACAAGACTACAAAAACCTAATGTCGAAAGTAGTGTGATTACACTGATATGATTATGAGAAATAATTTATGTTCGAAACGTCATCAAGTAAATAATACTATATCACTGTGTGTTATAAATCACATGAACAAATCTAACGTGGAATAAACCAACTTTATGTTGTGTAGTTCTAAGTGTTGACCGAATTTTCCTGTTTTGGTAATGTGGTCACCAGCCCCCTCAAGGCTGCAGATACACCATACTGACGAGTACCAATAAACAGTAGACCTAGGTCCAGGGCTTTCTTCCAGTTACCTGTAATCACCTAACACCAATCAAAACGTATCATGCCGCTTCGTGACTACATTAATAATAATAATGATAATAATAATGGCTTTATTTTGAAAGCTATTTCGGGATTTCAGCACGTCATATAGCATCAATTGGATAGAGACAGTGTATATGTATACATAGCAAAATAAGTAGAAATTACAAGAAAAGATAAAAATATTCGCTCTATCTACAATTTTCTTCAAAATGCACAGTCAGTTTAGGTATACAATCACATTGGCAGTTAGATTGATAATACGTAAAAAGTAACACGTTCATCTTCAGTTAGTTTGCTTTCAAAACAGAAGTTGATTAGTTAGTTTGTTTTTAATACTTTCTTCATCACGCAGGCGGGTTAAATACGATATCGTCGAGTTTTTATATTTTGTAGTTCGTGCATAGAGTCTTATGTACTTTCTCCTCGTCGTTCCAGATGACCGACATGTAGAGAGCTTCGAGTGAAGAGGATGTTAGTCATCTGATAAAATAACCCCTGCCAGATGTTTACATGAGTTTATATGTTTGTTCACAATAGTTTTAACTAGAAAGTTAAGGGGTGCACCACTGGTTCTACTGACAATCTTCAAAGCTCTACGTAATACAGCATAGTCTTTTTTAGTAACCCAGGAAAAAATAGAGAGCAATAGAGAAGGATAGGCAAGATGGAGGAGTTTATAAAACATAAGAGAAGAGGCTGAGTAATACCAGTTACTTTCAGCTTCCTAACATAGAAAGTTAGGCGAGAAATTATTCTGGAATTTAGTGAGATATGAGAATACCAGAAAAGGTCCGAAGAAAAACACACAACAAGATAAATCGCATTTGTAACATTCTTTAATGTGCAACTATCAATAGAACAGGAATCATGAAAACTAAGCAGTTTACATAAGTTATGTTCACGTCTAAAACTAAAGTTTATGGTCTGACATTTTGAAGAATTTAGCTTAAGACCATTCTAGGAGGACCATCGTCTAACAGAAGATAGGAAACCATTCAGTTGGGAGCAATCTGCTGAAGAGGAGATAGGTATGGACTGTTACGTCATCAGCATATTTAGTGAAATTGATACCAGCTGACGATGGTAGGTCATGCAGAAAGAATGAGAAAAGACATGGGGAAAGGATGGTTACTTGGGGAACTCCAGCCACAGTAAGCAATGAAGTGGAGCGCTTCCCTCTGTGAACAGTATGTTGTTTCCTATCAGAGAAATAGGAATGAAGCCAGTTGATTATACAGGACTCAGTATTTGTTTCGGTTAGCTTGTCCAGCAAAAGAGGTCTTGGGACAGAGTCAAATGCCGAAGTATAGTCTAAAATAGCACACCAGATATACTTGGGATTTTTATCAAGACTATAAGTAATATCATGATATAAGAGAGTGGTGACGTCCAAAGTGCTTCTTCTGCTTTTATATGCAAATTAATTAGGGTCTCCGAAAGCATTCAGTGAGGGCCCGAGCACAGGTATTATAAACTTCTCCGTTATTTTTAAGAGCGGAGAGGTAAATGCAATCGAACGGTATTTTGTACATGCAACCGGAGTCCTAGACTTAGGTACGGGGACTATCTTAATATCTTTCCAGGCAGCTGGTATAGTGTTTTCTAAAAACGATCTGTTGAACATGTTAACTAATGGATAGCATACAATATCAGCACATTTCGTGAATACGAAGCTTGACATACCATCCATACCTGAACTGTGAGAAGGGTATAGGGATTTGAGACATTTGAAAACATCGTTCGCTATGAACTCTGGACAACGTTCTTCATTGGACATGGGTAGACAAGGTGGGATCGAACAAGTTGGTTGACGTAAAAATGATTTGTTCAAGCACAGAAATCGATATATGCTTCGTTGCTAAGGGTTTTACTACCAATGAGGTCTTTAAACAGTTTTAACATGCTGGAAGAGCCTTTGCATGACAAAAGTTTCTGGTTGTATAGTTGACTCATATGTTTAATTTCCGACCTAATTAAAACGTTCAATTGACGAGCACCAGAATTATCACTTACTTCATATAGTCTTTCTTTTTCTCTTCTTAGTTTCTTAAGCTGGGGAGAGGATATACGATCGAAGCGTAGAAAAAGCTTTTCACTTGGGTAACGTATATCTAGGCAGAACTTGAGATAGCATGTTACACTATCAATAGTATCATTCAAATCATCGCTGTCAAACAATATTCCAGTCTATACATTGAAGCATTTCTCTTAGATTAAGTATGTTACTAAGTGAATAGTTTCCATGTATAATCTTCTTATATGTGAAAGCTGTTTTGTGAAGTTTGCCATATATTTTGGGTAAAACATATAATGCAGTGATCTGAGCTGAGGAGTGGGGATCTCTTTCAAATTTCGTATATATCAGTATCACTGACGAATACCAAGTCTATTGTTGCATCCTGGCGTGTTGTGAAGTTAACAATGTTTAGATGACCAAGGGTTTTGAGAAAGATTTGGTCACAAGAGTTGAAATTGTCACATATTATCGACAGGGAACCACAGAATATGGGGGCTGCGAATTCCGTGAATATATCAGGGAATTAGGATAGCTCGGAGAAACTGCAACTAGGCGTCACATGAATATTTGTTATATAAGTAAAGAGATATTTGTTCAAATGTTTTGGGCGGCACTTCACAGTGACGCAATTTATGTGGTCATTAGAGAATTTGAAGCAAATGTAACTCAAAACGCACCAATGGGAATTGATGAAGGTAGCTACTTTTCTTAGTAGAGCTACATCAATCTTGACGGAAACTTTTGAAACCATTCACACTGAAATCAAACTGTTATCATAAAGTTAATGCAACCAAGTTTCTTGCAGTGTAATTACCCCAGTATTGCGGAGGATAAAACAGATTGTAAGTAATCTACTTTTCCCTGGAGTGACCTGCAGTTCATGCTTATAATTTCAGGCAGAGTCATTCGAGATAAGGTTATTCGCTTCAAAGCACGTTGCCATCCACCGTGATGCTTTTTCCTCATCTTATGTGATACTGGCATTGCAGAAGGTAGTAAGCTTTTGAAAATGTGCATGAGTATGTACTGCAATCAGAGGACATAATAGAATGATTAAACAAAAAAATCTGTTGAAAATTTGATGCAGTATGACAGATGGAGAATTTAGTAGCCCAGACATTCAAGCAGACGGCCGTCTCAAAATGAACGATAGAATTCGGTCAGTAATCAGGACTATACAACATGAAATTGATTGCCCTCCAGTCACCAATCAATGTACATGAGTTTTGCACAGGAATTCCCATATTGTTCAATTTTAAAACTGTTTTTTCAGTATCTTTTTATACGAAATATAGTTTAAGATTTTCGAGAAAAAATCAACGAGACGACTGCCGGTGTGTGTGTACAAAAACGATTTGCTGAATGAGGAAGTTAACTTTTAGACAATAGGTTGTAGGTTCCAATGATATCTCATCTTTTGAGGCTCGAAGAACTAGGTACCACCTTGGACTGGTATATCCAGTAAATCAACTCTTATGCATTTCAAGTTGATGTTCATCATGAACTGACATCAGTTAGAAAAACGTTGGGGAACTGGGCAGACCTGGACAGCTGTTTCAGCCTAGTATAGGACTCTTCAGCAATGCACACCCATGACCCCGCAGAGATCGAACCCAAGACCTTCAGGTTCCAAGGCCTGTACGTTACCATTAAGCTACTGGGTCAAAATCTAGAGGTCTAATCGTGAATTTGAAGTGACCATAGAGTTTCAGAGAGTAGTCGTAAACACATAAGATAAGATAAGATAATTTCTACTGTTATATGTAGAAAGTGAGAAAAAGGCATTACTTACACATCACCTGTTGCACGCCAATTATGCCAACCGTGTACATGACCACAGCTTACATATACATGAGGAATTTGATCAGGACTAATTTGATCTGTATCTTGTGTAGATAATTCATTGTTCTTCATTAAATTTCCATTGTTACTTACAAAACCGACAACATCGGAGTTGCAGGAATTGGTACTATGAGGTAAAAGTGGTAATTTCAAGGTACGATAAAGTACAGGACATTGAATATGCGCCTGATTCAATCCATTGATCTATAGGTGGAACAAAGAGATTACAAACAAGATAATAGTAAATATTTGTTGAGAGAAATAAATAAATAAGGCTATTTACTCTACACGCTGAGTTTTTTGAGTAGATTAACTTTAGAGATTGAGATGTTAAGTAACTTTTTAAAAATTTCTTTACGAATTCAAGTAAAATACCACGCATCACAGTTCCAGGTAGTTGAGCGCAAGCACACGGTAAAATTGGTTGATAGACATAGATTAGCACTTACGACTAAACAGCTACACATCCGTTATCGTTTACCGATCAACTTGTCTATATCATGCAGTAATACAAATGGTCAATCATAGCCCGAATAGACTAAAGGTAAAGCCTGTAACTTCAACACTGAATATGAGATACAATTTCCCAAAAGGTCTGAGCTTCTTAACAACTGCTGACCAGACTAAACTGATGAGTGTCAATGAGCACGAAGATTAGGTCAGGCAGGGGTTTCTTATCTTTTAACTCTAAGGAGGCAATATCATAGGGAATATTCCCCCTTCAACAAACTAAAATAAACTGGTTATTCGATGGTGATAAGTTCCTTGCTCCAGTGACTAATATTCCCGGGAAAAGTATTTTAAAAATGAACGGCTAAAAGATTTAAGACTTGGTTCCGAGTGAAGAGGGGTTTTTACCAGACCTCGAGAAACAGGAGAAAACCGAAGACCTACAATCTAAGGGATATTCTTTTTTTTGATTATTACTAATTAAATAGACTTACCGTTTCTAAACTCTTGAAGCTATTGAATTACAATTACTTAATGCTCAAATAAAACGCGTATGAGTTCATAACTAACTTGACGAATGTCTACAAATTGGACAGTGAATCGACTTAGTGTACACGATATTTAATACCAAGATATAACAATCCTAACACCACAGAAGTTGAGTAAGGTAAGACTAGAAATAGAACCAATAAAGGGTTTCGTGGCAGAGGAATACAGAAATCCGGTTAGTTATTTCCATTGTAACTTGAGTGGCTCTAAAATCGTTCCTACCGGAATGTGAGATTTTTCTGGTTAAATACGAATTAAATATATATAATTGAGAACCTGGGAGCACTGAACAGCTGTTTCGTAACCCGGCTAGGGATTGAACTCAAGACCTTCAGGTTTCACGGTGAATGTGTAAGTCATTCAACTACTGGGTCGGATTCCAATGGTTCACAGTTTCCAACTCCCATCAGTTCACGATACAGTGCGACTATCACCCAAAGTCTTCAGGTGGAATCTGCCTCCATTCTGACTGGTTGACCTCACAGATCACGGCTTCTCATTACAACTTCGTAATATCCATCTCGAAGCATGTCACTAATCAGCGTACTGCTGAGGAGTCTCATGCTAGGACGAAACAGCAGTTCCACGCTTCCAGGTTATCAATGGTTCCCCAACTGATGTCAGTCCGTGATGAATGCCACCTCAAAATTAAAATTCCCGTTCATCTCAACAGTTAATTAGTTGCTTAATTTAAGGCATATAAATACATGAGTCAATGCCTACAATAAGCCCAGTATACATGGGTTATGGTAATGCTTAGTAACATATAATCATGTTTATGATAGATGCAGTTAACAGTGTCAGTAAAGTTAAAAATGTCAGGAATCGACTAAAATGAAAATCAGAAACTGGGTTATCATTATATATTGAGGTAGAAGTCTTTAAAGCGTCAAAATTTCATTCATGACACTGAGTAATTGGAATTATCTTATTGGACAGCATAGCGTTAGCAGTTAAGCCGAGTAGGATTTATTTCTATCTATAGATATTTTAACTCTGGGATTCAATGCTGGTGACTCGCCCAGTATTGGATATGCTCAATTCACCTTATCACTTATTGGGGGAGTGGCTAGCTTAAGTGCTTGAACCTGTGAGATCAAATCTGTGCAAAAATAGTCTTTCGGACACACTTGGTTCTGTTCGCCGCATCGAAGAAATCAACATAAAGGGGTAAACAAACGTATGGTATCGCTTGATGTTTGTTCTTTATTTACCAATGTTCCACTTGTTGAAACTATTTATTATTCATGCGGTTATATTGATTCTAATAAAATTAACATTGGATTACCTACGAGCCACTTGGAAGAACTGATATTAAGATGCACGTTTAATGTAGATTTAATGGTGTGATTTATAATCAGATGGACGAAGTCTCAATAGGTTCTCCCGTAGGCCTCGTCATAGCTGATATCTTTATGGCAAAGCTCGAAAATGGGCCATTTAAGGAAATAATCTCGGAACTTTATTTGTATAAAAGGTACATTGACAATACTTTTCTTATTTGTGATGAAACATGTTAAGTGGACGAGCTGCTATGACGTTTCAATGATTGTCACCCGTCCATTAAATCCACTTTAGAATAAGAGTTAAATTGAACGTCCCACTGTCTGGACATAATGTTAAAGAGAAGGAATGATAGCTCGATTCAAAGGTCAGTCTATAGCAAACCAACTTGGACCGATTGGTTTACTAACTTTAATCGTTGGGTTGTAAAAGAAATCTCGTTCACTCGCTGTGTTCCAAAATCTATAAAATATGTTCAGAAGACATGGTGGATGCTGAAATCGAAACTCTTAGAACAAAACTATCGAATAACGAATACCCTAAAAGGCTATTGATAAAAATCTGAAGGAACAAATTACCTCTCATTCTATCACAGTTCCAAAAAAAATCTTAATCATGAATCTAGAATTCAAGGAGACACCATTTATGCATAGCTGAAACATTAGCTATACATGAAGAAAACCGAAAACTTTGCATTCAAAAACGTTTTGTGAAGCCACTTTCTCTACCTTGGCCTTAACAATTTATTTCGGTGATTTTGTCAGTTTAATTTCACTTCACCTTGGTATACTTCTTTTTTATTATCATTATCACCATTTTTCACTTCGTTGACAGCATTTGACCAATATTTCACTATTTAATATCAACTCGTTCCTTATTCAGTGACCTATATTCTATTTCTTCCACTTGAACAAGTCCCACCACCAACACCTGTTCTATATTTTGCATATTGACTGAGCAACTTTTAAGTGCAATCATCTGTTATTTTACCGATTATAAATACGACTGTATAACCTGATAATGAAGTCGTTGGAAAAAATATTTCTTAGCTGGTGACTTGGCTTGAAACTTTATATACTACTGAAGTGTGAAAATATTGTTAGTACAACGTCTATGAATGAAAAACAATCATTTAGGCAGGACAAAAATGTACAGAGTACCGTCTAAGTTACCTTGGATCGTATACGAAGGAAAACAGAATGATGTACAGATCAGATGCACAATAGATTACTGGTGTTTGAGCAACAACAAAAAACAAAATCTGATTGGTCAACGACTTCTCCAGTTATTGGTCATCATTACCAGTTTTATATATGCGTTAAATTGCACATGGTGTGATGCATTTTCACGTGACAAGTCATTCCGTAACTCAATGAAACGTAGGGCACTAGAAGATTGCAGTTATTTATGATAAACCTTTCATTTTTCACAAAGTTTGTCGATGCTGTCTAGTCAACACAACTTCGTAAGGAACACCTATTCGATGTTGTTTCCAAGTGCAAACATGCGAACATCATTAGGAAAACATATCTTTCTGGATATTTGATTTTTATTCACCGATATAGCACCTCATTCAGAAAGTGAAATTCATTTTTCAGCAGATATGAGGATCGTAAATTAGTGTAGAATGGTACGTTAAAGAACTGAAGTTTCTCTCTAACAATAGATATTATATACAAAGTAACGGAATCACCATGAGTTCACTCTGTCTCAATACTAGTAGATGGTTTTTTAGTTAAACGAAAAGATGGACTGTTGAAAGATGACATCAGTAATCTGGTTGTGTGAAGCAATTAAGGCGATGACACACTCGTTCTCACATCAACTGGTTACCGAAGGGTAACTAACTTATTGTTGTCTGGTCCTGAGTGTTGATCGAATTTCTATCGATCATTTTGCAATGTGGCCAGTAGATTACGCAGCCCGAATAGCCCAATGGTAACGTCGCTGACTACAACTCTGGGTGACACGGGTACGAATCTGAGGAGGGACATCAGTTCCGTCAGGGTAAGTGATGCTGATGAGTGCCAACAAGCACAATGTCATCGGAAACGAACTTTTAAGGAGATTTATTCACACATATATTCTTCATTTACTTTTACCTGTTGGAACAAACATGAAAATAAGTTATGCTGTCTGAATGTCTTATTAATCAGAAGAAATGATGGATCATTGAAGAGAAGTGTGTGCAGAAAGGTCATATCCATTGGTTCCATATTAGATTGTTTATTTGATATAGCACACAGTGATATAGTATAATTTACTTGGTGGTGTTTCGAGCAGAATTTATTGTTCATATTCATATCAAAGTAATCATATGACTTTCGAAATTCCTTTACATAGTCCAACAGTTCATTCATTTATCCCAATGGTAGTAAAATTTCCTACATATCTGCAATATGTGATGAGTCATTCCTGTTACATGTTAGGTGTGGATTCAATAAACAAAGATTCTGTGGTCAATCTCTCCCTCGACCTAGCTTCATTGGGTTTTAGAATTGTCATCCTATAGTGTGATTATGAGCCAGTGCATGGAGAGCGATAGCCGAGTTTTTCTCGAAATTACTTATCTTAGTAGAGTGTACCATTGTATGTTTCGCTAAATTTTTGTGTTCTGCTATTCTGTCTGACATCATTACATGGTGTTTAATAAATTAAGTTTTTTTTTAATTGACTCTGTTTGATCTTTTAGCCTACAAAGTTTCTCTCTGAGTGAGTTTGTGGGTTTAAATGCTATCCTAATTCCCAGCATTGTTAAGAATTCTACGTAAAATTTCCGATGTACCTTCTTTATATGGTAACACTACGGAAGATTCGAATTCCCTCTCACTTATGTTCCAGTCACCATTAACATTACCACTCTCTCTTATCAATCCTTATGAACTTTTTAATAAATTCCGGAGGACAGTTAGTAAGAATTA